TTCGGAAGTGGTTTTCCTGAACTGTTGTTGCTGTATACATTTTTTTTGGTAGATTTTGATCTTTCTTCATGTATTGATAGAATGATTTATTTGGTTCTTTATATTTTTGAGGTTTGTTTTGATTGTCCTGTTGTTTTTGTCTACATTCAGGAATACTATGTCCGTATCGTCGGCAATAATTACACCATTTTTTGAAAGATGGTTTGCCTTTAAAGTTTGGGTGTTTTTCATAAATATTGAGTATTTCAGTGATTTTTTCAACGAGGTCTGTATCTGATTCCTGTATATTGTTGATATTTGTGGTATTTGTTTCAATTCGATTAACATATTGTAATTTCAGATTTTCTGTTTCTTCAAGTTTCATTGTGATTTCCGCTTGCTCTAGTTTGTCTACTAGTTTTCGAAAATCTAAATCGGGCTCTCGAATTGAGGAGGTATGGGATGCTCTCTTTTTTATTGCTATTTTCCTTAATTGAGGTGTAAAGGTCATCATTAAGATTTCTGTCATTTTTGTGTTTTTATAGTCGTGTGTATTTAATGAATATGCTTTTCGAACTAGTGTTTCGATACGTACTGCTAGTTGTTTGATGGTTTCATTTGGTAATCTGCGAATTTCATTACATAAAACTCTTTGTTGTTGTTTATTTCTCTCGGAGTCAAACATTTTTGAAAATTCTTGTGTAAATCTTTTCCAATTTGATTTTATTTCTATAGGCAATACTGAAAACTATTTTTGGGCTGCGCCGTCTAAGGTTGTCTGTATCAACGCTGTGCGTCGATGTATCCAATTTTGATGTAGTGGCGTATTAATTGGTTCAGGTCCTATATTTAAAATTAAATTTGCTGTTACTGCATTTAAATAATCTTCTACAGAATATTCAGGGTCTGTTCCTGTGAATAACATTAATGGTTTGTTTGATGTTATTGATGATCCACCCATAAGGTATGGATTCATTGTAATTTGTAATGATTCTGCGGCATTTGGCATTTGTGAAAAATTTGAAAGTTGATTTTTTGTTTTTTCGTGTTGTTGAAGGTAATATGGGAGTGGTATTTCATTTTGCATTTGTGTTGGTTGATACGAGTGTGTAATCATTGGATTTTGTGGCTGAATTGGTTGAAAAGATTGTGTATTAATTGGGTTTTGCATTTGTATTGGTTGTTGATTTTGTGTATCTATTGGATGTGGAGAAAAAATTCTATGATATGTATGTGGTTTCTGCACTCTTTGTCCACGATATTCTTGAGTATATGGTGCAAATATATCTGGTTGTAAATAATCATCATCAGAGGATAGATAATCCGTTTGATGAGGTGCTTGTTTTTTATTTTTATTCTGTTGAAAGAATGGGTAATTTTCACTACGATCCTGTGGAGGATGTAAATTAGTTTGAAAATTTACTGAGTTGGTTGTTGCCATTGGGTTATCCCAATATTGAGATCTTATTTGATTATTATTTTTTTTTCGTGGGGGATAGTTTGTTTTTAATGAGTGTGCGTAATTATAATTGTGTTCCGCAAAAGTGTTTCTTGTGAACGTTCTGCGTGTTTTTGACGGTTTTGTCATGGGTCTATATGTTTGATGATCCATTTGTGAATATTTTGGAGCAACCGAAGGTTTAACGGTTGATTGTAAGGTTACCTGTGCTAGTGAAGTGTTTGTATTTTTTGGTGTTGTTAAATTTGGACGTATTGGTGAAATACTTTGTTGTGTAGTTGTTGTTGTTTGGACGATTTCTTCATTTATGAAGTGTGATGGTGTTTGAATATCTTGTTGAGTGAGATTCCTGGTTCCATTAAGGTTTTCATTGTGTATGACGGTCGAATTTAAACTGTTATTTCGTGTATCAGGTAAAAATGTATTGTAGTTTAATGGTGTTGCATCAATGGTTAATGGTACTACTCTTACATAATCTCTTGCATAAGATATTGTACTTATTGCTTGACTTGAGATTGATTGTGGGATATTTATGAATGCATAATGAGACCATTCGGGGTCCCAAATGTAGTCTGACTGTTCTGTGATGGCGGTATCATCGTTTGAATTTTGAGGTCTGAAATTTTTTCTTGCTTGCGAAATTAAATCTATATTATGTGTGAAATAATCTATTATAAACCATGCCAAAATTTTTTGTAAGTCATGTTTTGTATGTTGTGAAACTTCATCTTTAGTGAAATTTTCTTTAATTATATGTAGGAAAGTTGAAAATAGTGTGATTTCATGTCGTACCCTTATATGTTTGGATGTCTCTGTCGGTGAGACATTTGAGATTGGGGTTTCGTTTTCTAATATTGAAATATAACTATATATTATTGCAAAAACTTCATTAGTAAATATGGGGTTTGCTCTTTGTGAGTTATGATATTGTATGCTTTTTACATATTCTAAGAAGACTTTTGAAAATTCTAAGTCAAGATCGTCTGTTTGAATTACATATCTGCGGTGATTCGGGTTTGGTGTACTGAATTCTATGGTGTAGATTCCGTATTTTTGTGTTAAATTACATATATCTTTCAGATAGTGATCAATAATTTGTCTTTTGATTTTTACATCTGGGAACTCTGCTTTACATGGGCTGATTCCGGGTTCAAACAAATTTAGGAGAAAATTCTTGCAAAGATCATATTGTCCTCTATTATCGGGTGCATCTACGAGGAAGGGGTAGATATCGTCATCATCTGGACTATATTCATTTGGAGTGTGTGTTTGGCTCATTTTTTCGTTTAATGACTGTTAATAGGTAATTATCGATGTGTCTAATTGGTTGATTCCAATTATACAAGTGTACTGGTTTGTGTTTATATTGCTTTTTTATTCTTCTTTTTCCTCTTTTTGATGAATTTGAAGTTGTTTCTGAGTCGGAAAAATATAGTTGATCGTGAAGGGGGCAATTTTTATCAATAGATTTTTTTAATTTATAAAGTTGGTCTAAATTGCTGGCTTCTGATTCTGAAAATGCGTTTCTATTTTTTGAAAATCTTTTTCATGTGATTTGTCTTTGTTTGGTTATTACTTTCCTTTTTAGTGTTTGTCTGTTTGTGTATGAGGTGTGATTACAAGGTCGTATTTTTTGTTATCTATTTCACAGTTGTGTAAAACGATTGTTTGTTTGTTTCCTAGATTTTTAAATGACATAAGGTTTAGAATGACGGATGCAAAAAGTTGTTAGATGATTTCTATTTTCTTAAACTGTTAGTCCTTACGATTTTTTGGTTAGCTTAACCTGGGTCTATTTGTTCAGGGTTGGAGAGAAAAGTATATCGATTCCGAAGAATGATTTTTTACTTTCTCGTGGCTAGTATAAGCTAAGGTGTTAACTTACTTAATCTTACTTAGGGGTAGTGATTGTGTTCAAGGGTTGGAGAATAGTAAATCGATCCACAAGGTTCAGGTATAATTAGAACGCGAGTAGTTCGTTAGATACTATTTTAAACCTACTAAGTCTAAGATTTATCCTGGGTCTGATAAGAGGAGGGTTCAAGTGAAGGATGAATAACCGAAGTTCTTCACTGTTTATCCTAATTTGAATGATTAGTTTTGTTCAAAAATTTCTATTAGTCTTGGGTTTTTTGAAAGGGTTGGATAGTGAATCGACGTTTGAGGTCGTTAGACACTTGCTAAATGGGTGGGGGAGAACAAAATTGTTCTTTTTGATCCAAGGATAGGCCTTGATGATCAGGTTTTAAATTTAATAAAATAGAAAAATTTAATGTAGATCCAAGGATAAGCCTTGATGATCTGATTTTAAAATTATATTTTAAGTTTAAAATGGTTTAAATTGTTCAAAATGTTAGTTTTTGATATTTAGTGAGCTTATGATTGCTGTTATGTTTAGGTGATGAAGCTGGGACAATTGATAATTTTATGATTACTAACAATTTATTGTCATGCTACTAATTTTTGTTTTGATTTTCAATAAATATTTTCAAAACATATTTTATATAATACTGCAGAATTTAGGAAAACGATCTGAGATCTTTTTATCAATCGTTATTGTATATTAATAGTTTTGTTTAGCGCCTGAAATGATCATGAAGATTGACTTCAAGATTTTATGTTTGCAAATGAAAATCTAAATTCATTGCTAATAAAATTCTAAATATAAAAGTTTGTGTTGGCTTTTGCCGTACTACCATATAACTATTTGGTAAGTTTCTACTTTGTCGTATGTCGTCTCTGGCTCGAGGTCTTCTTCCAATTCCGGGTAGTTCTATTATCGTTCGGAATATTGGCTCTGATCTATTGAGTCGTAGAGACATTTCGATTAAATTATCGTCGTATAACATTTTGAAAATGTTTTGTCTAAATTCTAATCTATTTTTGGTTAATTCTAAGCTATTAAGGTCTTGTTCGAGACTTATGGTCGCACCAGATGAGTTAGAACCGATGTGGTTAACTCATAGAGTAATTTCGGATAGGGTACACCGTCTGCTCGTCACGCTATCTTATTTTCGGCCGGATAGATTCGTGCAACTTCTTAGTCTAATACCGATCCTAATCTTACTCTTATACTATCTAGTCTCAGGTTGTTTAACTAGTCTCTGCTAGGCTCAATAGATCTAGGGTATACTGGTTTATTGCGGCTGCTGAAGTTCTCTTGGAGAGGCAACTAATTTCTAAGTTAAATTCAAATCTCTCTGGTGCTGAAATTACAAGTAATTTCAGCACTTACAAATAAGTGGGTTGTTAGTTAGATGGATCATGATTGGTTAATATTAAATACTTTACAGTGGTAAAATATCTAATTTATCCAATCATAAAATGTAGTTTAGATCAGGTTCCACAACGGTCCAAAACTGTCTGCACATGGGAAATAGTTCCCCCAAAAGTTTGGTTTTGTTTGTTGTTTTTTTTTATTTTATTGACCTTTGATCTACGAAAAGCAGTAAATACCATTTTTATTAATGACTCAAGTCATGTCGCCGCTTCAAAAACTCAACCATTGGTTGAGTTTGGTGAAATTTTACTTTTTTCTACCAAAAAAACGGAATCAACTAACCTGCAGCTTTCGAGACGGGGCTTCGCTGATTGTTATTGTTGTTGTTGTTGTTTCCATTGGTGGGGGTGGGGGTTCTGATGAAGGGACTTTCGGGGGGATCCGGGATGTCGGGTTCACTTGGAGGAGCAGAAGGGGACCGGCTGAAACGAAACAAAAGCGTGTTTTTTTGAAAATTTACAAACTTCAGAATGATGTAGGGTTTGAAAATTACAATTCTTTTAAAAAATTTGGAGAAAGCAATCGTTTGTTTTTTGCTTCATATACGCAATTTTCCAAAACTCTCTGCCGTTTTTTGTCTCCTGAATATTGATTTTTGCATCCAGTAGTCAAAAATTAACTATAGAGTCAATTAAGTGCTAGTTGAATTTTTTTTTGGTAAAATTGTGTTATATATTGTTTTTTTAAATCAAAATATGGTGAGGGAAGACCTGAGACAAACATAAACGTGCGTTTCAGGGCCTGAAACGCACGTTTATGCTTGTCACCAATTTCAACGCCCACCTATTGAGTATATCAGCGGCCCTTCTCATTCCCAACTCCCTGTATCTCTCCACCTGTACAGGCGTCCACTCCCTCTCCCCCTGCTGGTGTCGATTAGTCTCTGACCACGTGACCGCACTCTTGTTCCGCCTCTTACTGTTCTGATTGTCGCTGTCATTGTGTTTGTGTCGTCTAGTCGGAGTCTCAATTCCTTCTCTGTCTGATTTGAAATCTGTTCTGCTGTCTGCTCTTTCGGCTTTAAAACCAGATGAACACTTTTTCTTATATATTTTTTTGGAATTTGAAAAAAGTGAAACAAAGCTGTCGAAAAGTTGAAAATAATTGGTGTGTGAGGTAGAGGGAGATACTGATAATATTGAAGGCATATTTGAAAATTATATAACGAATACACACACACACACACACATATCATAAATGCACTCACTGTGTTCCTCGACCGTGTGAAAATTTCCTCCCTCCACCTCCTCCCTCATCCCCCTCCTCTGTGACTCATTCGATCTGCCATCGGGTGGGGCTGAGTTGAGTTTACTCTTGAACAGTCTCCTCCTCATCGCAATCGTCTCTTTTCTCCTCCTCGCCATGACGTCATTAGTTGGGCTCTTAGTGCTGGAACTCAGTCTGGATTTGTTCGCATCTGAGGTGGAGTTCTCCTATAAGAGCCAAAAAATAAGCTACGTTGAAGCTTTTTTTATATTTGAACCGATATGATAACCAACTTGCTTTTGTTAGTTTTTTCGCAACATTTTTGAGAACATGGCGTTGAACTTAAATTTTTTCTAGACACCGCGCCTGTTCGTATACCAGGGCAAAGCCCTGAATTTTCAAATTGGCAAAAATCAAAATCCCTCAACTAGATTAAAAGAGAACGCAGGCAAAATACCTTTTTCTTTCAACCGCCGAAGATTTACTTGAAACTACACTCGAACTTGTTAGGACTCGTTATTCACAAGGGAAAGGACCGACACACGAGCTCTTCAGCACTTTACGGACAACTGCAGTTGTGCCCCTGATGAAAATTTACATCCAATTTTTTGGTAGTTTTTCTGGACTGGGTTAAGATGTTTAACCCACAAACAAACAAACATGAGTCCTCGTGGGCCTCAAATATTCGACCTTTTTGATTAAATGGCGGAGAGGTAATCACTTCATCACTTCAGTTGAAAAGATTTTGCAGAAGAAAGTATGATTGATAAACTTTAAAAGTTGAACTGCAAATATCAAAACTACCAGTTCAGTTTTCAGTTGACACAAGGAATTAATATGACAAACTTGCTAGCCTCGTATCACGCATATCAGTTTTGAAGGCGGTCTAATTTGTAAAACATGAACAAGTAATTTACGCTTTCGACATCGGGTTTGAAAAATCAAAAAACAAATATATTAGTCCAGAACTTGACTAAAAGATTTATAGGTAAAAAACATTTTTAAATTGATTTCAGGAAGTCGATATCTTCAATTTTATAAAAAAATTTTAACAAAAAAAACGCTAAATGAAACATCCAAAATTCGTTTTCATTTTAGCAAAACCATGTTTTTTATGCTCGAAGTCTTAAAAAAGTAATTTTCCATCTAACGAGCTTTACTCCATTGCAATACTCGATCACATTACATTACACTACGAATTGTCAAAAATTTCAAGGCAGTGTTTCTCGACTGTGGGACAACTTTCAATTTGTGTTTGCAAATATTTCAAATCACGAATAAAAAATTTGATATATCACTTGATTTAATCCAATGATTAATTATAGTACCTGATTCTGCGAGGAAAAAATGAAAAAACTTCAGAAAACGCCCGACTACAAAATTCTTCCCCAATTTCAATGATTGGAATTGTTATGCATGAATTTATGAAGACTAAAATGAAACAAGTCTGTGATTCTAAACTCGAATCGATAATGATTTCCTCTCCGACTTCTGTCTTAAAAAGTTTTTTTTTCGACCGTGAAAAAGTTTCAAAAAGAACGGTCGTACGTAAAATTACGCTAAGAAATTTCAAACCGCAGCCAAAGTTCATTCTATGTTAAGTTTCGCGAAAACTGCTTTGACTTTTGTACCAATAAAAAGTTTTACACAGCTTTTCTAGTTGGCAGAAATATCGTTTTTTAGTATGAAAATTGTTTTACGCATTTGTTAGCTAGATTGATAAACATTTGTTGAAAATCCTTTTTGAAGTTATCGAACCTCGAGTTGGATTTGGTAGAAGTAATTGAGTTTAGGAAGAGTGTAATATGTCCCCACGGATAATTTAAAAAGAAAAACTATCTTTCTCCCTCTTTAAAAAATATTTGTCAAAAATAATTATCAAAAAAATCAAATGGTAAGACCCGAGTGACTCTTTCTTAGTCATACAACTGATATTCTTAAAAAAGTCTTGACGGCTTTCCAAAATGTTTTTATTTTTAGCTGCTGTTTTGTTTCCATTGAACGGCATAGATATCAGTCGGCTTCGTGAATTTCGAAGTCAGATACAAGAAATCAGTTATCATATTTTTTTCTATGTTTTATTGAGAAGTACTTCAGTGCTTCCAGAAAACATTTTAAATTTTCAATGAAATTCAAACGATAACGTTGCAGATGAAAAGTTTCGAAAAATTAACAGATTGAAAACATAGAAACCAATCTGAAAATCAGAAACCAATAAGCAGTTATCATATGCTCTGTTGAGTAATATGCTTTGTTGTTCAGCCATTTAACAAACTTTTTCTAGTTTTAATGAAATCTAAGCGATAGCGATGCTAATGAAAACTGTCGCAAAAATTACCAGACTACTTAACATTAAAATATTTCACAGATGGTTTCGTGCACGATGTTTCTGTGTAAACATTTTATGCACGGTACGTAAAATACAAAAAAAACTTTCAAACTTTTTTACATGAAATGTTTAATCGCGGTTCAAGTTTACTAGTAATTGTATTAAAGCGCTATTTTTTTTAAGTACAAATTTTAGATATCAAAATTTTTCCTTATTTGCCTCTTTTTAGATAAATTAGGTATTTTATTTAATTCCAGCATATGAAATTAGCAATTCGTGGCCAAAAATAGACGCAAAATGATTGACCATTCTCATTTTGTTGTACCGATCATTTTCATGGAATAAAACTATGACCTTGGATTGGATATTTTCTTACATCCCGCACAGTTTCGCTCCTTTCATTTATTTTCCGACAGATTAACAGATACAATATAAGTACGTGACGTTTGATTGATCTACAAAAAAACCACTACAAAATGATGCCAATTCAATAATTTAGCAATTCAATTTTAATTAGCCTTTTGAATCCAAAAATAAATACTTCAAAGAGACGTCGGTAATGTTAAAGAAAAAAACAAGACACTTAATTTTGAAAAATGAAGCCAAACAATTTTGAGTCACCGAATGCGGGTGGGCTTTGAATCAATTTAATTTTTTATGCTCGCGTTTCGCTAATTTGATTCAAAGAAGAAATGAACAAACTCTAAATGAAACTCTAAAACCTCTCAAATAAAAAGTGTTATGGGTTGAAATGACAAAAATAAAGGAAAATTTGCTGTTATACAATATCTGTTAGATGTAATTCATTGATTTTTAATCAACTCAGCCCTAAAAAGAACAAAACTGCTCGTATCAGGGCGAAGCCCTGAATATTCCGACTGCCTTTTAAGGTCTATGGAGCATTAATAACATGAAAAATTTCAATGTAATAGAAAAAATTTTAAAAAAAATTTGAAAAAATTTGAGATTTTATGTAAAAACATCCCCCCACACGTCATATTAAAAACAAAGTGATAGATTTTGCGCCTATTAACAAATCAATTATGGCATAAAAGCATCCTTGAACCAATTTGCAACGATTTCTAAGACGGATTAAATCTCGCTGACGCGTTAATAGCGCGAAAATTATCGCGGGTTAATTGTCCCAAATTGGCCAAAATGGCAGTCTTTAAACCCCCATAACTTTATAAAAAATGATCACAGGTGAAATATCTTTTCAAATTCAAGCTCAGGACAACAATAGCTTTCGAATGATCTATAAAAAAAATTCCGTCAAAAATGGCTAGTTAAAAATCGAAATTTGTTTGAAGAAAAAAAACCCACCCCGAGCACAAATATTCCGTTACTTTCGTATCGAAAGTCGGAACAACAAGACTGCTCGTATCAGAGCGAAACCTTGAAAGTTCCGACTGCTTTTTAAGTTTTATGAAGCAGTAAATAACATTAAAAAAAATGAAAAAAAAATGAAAAAAAAAGTTCAAAAATTTGAAATTTTTATGAAAATCATCGTCCCACACTCCATATAAAGTACAAAAGAATAGATTTCGCTCCTTGTAACAAATCATTTAACGCAACTTAGCATTTTTAACCAATATGGAACAATTTCTAAGACGAATTAAATCACAGGTGAAATGATCACAGGTGAAATGTCTTTTCAAATTCAAGCTAAGGGCAACAATAACTTTTGAATGATATAAAAAAATCATTCAAAAATGGCTAATTAAAAAGTCGAAAATTGTCTGAAGAAAAAAAAACCCACCCGAGCACAAATTTTTTGTTACTTTCGTAAGTGAGAGAACATTGCCATGCTGATAAATCAGTATCTAAAAGATTCTTGATGAAGGATCAAAAATAGGCTTAAATGTGATTTTTCGGACCTAAAGCAATTTTGTTCTTGATATTAAAAAGCGGTTATAGCCTTCTTCTGTTTTGTTACTAAGGAAAGACAGATAAATTTAAGCATATTTTTGAGTTACTTACAAACATGGAATTGAATTGATAGAAATATTTTTGAATAATTTCCAAAATTTCATCTGCTAAGATAATAGACAATTTTCAAGCATTTATCTCATTTCAGGACGTTTATGATTTAAAAATTGTTCGTGGTGTCCCCTTCTGCTACCAAAACAAAAAGAAAGAAAACGATACAAATAATGCAAGGAGCTCGGAGAACTTTACATCAATATTTTTGCGTGATTGAGTTGTCGTTCTCATTGTTTCGACTTTCTTAACGAAGGTAACGGATTATTTGTGCTCGGGGTGGGTTTTTTTTCATCAGACAAATTTCGACTTTTTTAACTAGCCATTTTTGACGGATATATTAAAATATCATTCGAAAAGTTTTGTTTTCCTGAGCTGAAATTTGAAAAGATATTTTACCTGTGATTGTTTTTTTATAAAGTTTTGGAGGTTTAAATATTGACACTTTGGCCAATTTGGGACAATTAAAGCGCGATATATTTCGCGCTATTAACCCGTAAGCGTAGATTTATTCTGTCTTAGAAATCATTCCAAATTGGTTGAAGGAAGCTTAATTGCCATAATTGATTTGTTACTAGGAGCGAAATCTATCACTTTCTTTTTTTTATATGGCGTGTGGGGAATTTTTTTTTCTTCTATTACACTTAATTTTTTCATGTTACTACTGCTCCATAGACCTTAAATGGCAGTCAGAACATTCAAGGCTTCGCCCTGATACGAGCAGTCTTGTTACGTTTTATTTGCAGGAGGGACATGTTGAGAGTATCAGTTTTCAGTAACAGGCAACGCAGCAGTGGCAACTACACCTGCAACTGCAACTGTTGATGTCTTTTGCAACTCTTGATGTGTTTTGCTCAATTAAATTTTATAATTCTAGCATTTTCAATCAAATGCACTGACTGTACTCTCCACGGATTTCAATTAGCTCATCATTTTTTACTGCTGTTTCGCGACGCTCGCGTGTCTGTGTTCTTGCTGTTTTGCGCAGGCCAACTTACGAATAAGTTTGATTTTCTCTAGTGAGAAAATCACTCGTAAAAAGAAGCAACCACGATTGGTTAAGTTTTGATAAAACTGGGCAATGAAAAGTGTTCTTAATCAGATTGTTCAATTCAAAATGAGCATTTATGTGTAATTTGTTTTTTGAAAAGAGAATGTTTTGAATATTCAAACTTTCCAATTGCTAAATTTGAACCCATTACCCATTTAGTCTTTGAAAGGTTTTTAGGCGTTAGCGTTGTTTCACATAGTACTGTTTTCTTTCTGATGACTTGGAAAATGATCACTAAATTTTTGGTGAGCTCATTTATTGAAACGAAAGCGCCAATTTACAGCTGGTTTTGATTTTAATTTATTATTATTTAGGCCGATATGCCAAAAAGTTGGAAGCATATCAAAAGCTTCCTAACACTTGTGAACCAAAAAAATTTACATTTTCATTAAAAATTCCTAAGACTTAAATGACATGTTGCAAAGTGACATTGTGTTACTGTTCAAAATTTGTTGGAGAAAACCGCAATTTCCTAGGATTTAGACCAAGACGCGGATTCCAGATCAAAACTTAAAGAAACTCTTGATAAAATCAGAAAACGTTTTGGACCAATGCACTGATTTTTTCCTAAATCTCACGGTCTCTGTTTCTTTTCAAGGCTGGATTTCAAATTCAAAGCTGTTGTTTTTTTTTGCTCAAGTCGTTTTTCAGCCAAAGCATTGCATTAAATGTTTTCGAGACTTTTTTCAAATTTTGTTCAAAATCATAATATCATATATTCAAAAATAACCTCTTGCTGTGAAGTCGACTCATTCTTGATAGCCTGGGATTGCTTCTTCTTTTTACCATTCGGGGGCTTCCTTGGGTCTCCGTAAGTGACTTTGTACAGCTTTCGGTCTCCTTCGTAAGCTACAAACGAAGCCTCACGCCTACAAAAAATTAAACGCTGTTCAATTGAAGTTGAATTCACTAATAGTTCCAATTATCTACGTCATAATCCCCTTGAATATTTAAAACCTTCAAGTTATTCAAGTCAGGTGGCAGGAGTTGGTTAAGTCCAAAGCGACAGGTCACTAACAGCGGCAATTCCTTTTTTTAAAAAAAGTTCTATAAGCGATGTTACTTGAATTATCAACATAAGCACACAAAATGACTAGGAATGGGTAAAAGGGCAAGATTTTTTTTTGCCCAGAATTTCACTGCCATAGAAATATTTCAGATGAAATGTCAACAAAACGGTGTTTTATTGGACTTTTTTTTGCGTAATCCAAAATTTTTGCGTAAATTGTTTTCTTTTTTCTGATTTTTTTACGTACACCCATAGGCAGGGGCTAAATTTGGGCTGATTGTTTTTTGTAGAAATCCGGAAAATTTTTGAAAGACAAGATGATAGACAATTAAACTAACTCTGTTGCAATGAGCATGAGATTCAGATATCTATTACATCATAATGAGTATCTACAGAAAATGACCACAGTTCATTTTGACTGAGGTTGCTTCAAGAGTTTTAAATTAGTTGTCGGTTAAAAGTAAAATAAATGGGTATTGCTTTTTTCAAACCAAACCATATGGTTATCTCAGAATACAAAAAATCATCCACTATAAAAGCCTATACCCAGACGCAGAGCTAGGAATTTCTCGATGGAGGGGGGGGAGGGGTTCGTATTTTCAAAAAAATGAAAATTTTGTCAAGCTTTTTCTGTTAGGTCCACCAAATTGATTTTTCTGAGCGCTCCCCAACCACTATAAAGAGCCTAGTTTGACCGTTTTTTCTGCGCCAAAAAAGGCAAAAAAAGACGTTTTTAGGCACTTTTTGGAAAATTTCGACCAAAAAATCGCGTTTTTTCGGCGCGCGCTCCCCCCCCCCCCCCCGCCCTCAAAATAGTATAGATCGCGTTTAGAAAAATTTTAAGCTCAGTCAGCCAAAAATGGATATCTGAAAATAGCACAAAGGGGAGGAGGGAAGGTCCGCCCCTGAACAAGGAAAAGGGAAGGTCCGCCCCCGCCTCTCCTAAACCCGCTACTGCCTATACTAACGGTTCTGCATATTCGTTTCTTATACCTTATAACCAATCCTCCTTAGAGAATTCCCCTTTTTTTGATGGTAGAAAAATCAATTACTAATTTGACCTAAGTTTCAAGGAGAAATCAAAAACTCATGCTGGACCATTTGTGTTTTTGAATTACGAAGCTTCAAGTCAACTAGACTAAATTACTTGAACTAAGATTAGATGGATTGTTGCAATGCAAATGTAGAGTATAGAATGTAGAGTATAGATGCATATAAAACTGAACTAAAATGTAACAACAATAAGCACAGTTGGCCGAGCGGCCTAGAGACAAGTCTCTCACGCCGGTCAACCGGGTTCGAGTCCCCCCATATGCAGACCTTAAAACATGTAGACCCGAGGGGCTATAGCCCCATTTGACCGTTTTTTACTGTTTTTTGGTTCTAATTCGGTTCAGCCTTGATTAAGGTTGACCGCCAAAAAGAGCAATTTGTCTCAAGGACATTACCGACCGGTTCTTGTGGCTAGCTTGCGCCGTTTTGTACCAAAAACGGACAGTTCAGAATTGAAGTTATATGATGTTATGCTTGACCAAAATTATGATAAAATATTGATTTTTCTGAGAGTCTTTGCCGATAAATACTCTTTATAATTCAAAGCATTCGACTTCATAGTTTTACCAAATAACGGAGATTGAGCGCACATTTTGGCGCCCCACAAGGGACACGAGATCGATGATAGTTCCCTTTCAATTTTTTTCTCGGACAGTTTTCCCGACACGAGTGTAGTTGGCAGAATCCCCAGAGTTGTACGAAAGCAGGTGGCTCAAACAGAGTGCTGTCGGTCGGAATTCATCTGTTGCGGCTTGAAGAGGGTCTGTAGCGGATTGCACAGCATCTGTTGCGGATTGCAGAGTGTCTGTAGCGGATTGCAGAGTGTCGGTTGCAGATTGCAGAGGGTCTGTGGCGGATTGCACAGCATCTGTTGCGGATTGCAGAGTGTCTGTAGCGGATTGCAGAGTGTCGGTTGCAGATTGCAGAGTGTCTGTGGCGGATTGCAGAGCATCTGTTGCGGATTGCAGAGTGTCTGTGGCAGATTGCAGAGTGTCGGTTGCAGATTGCAGAGTGTCTGTTGCGGATTGCAGAGGGTCTCTTGCGGATTGCAGAGAGCGTCTGTGTCGTGTAAGACCGGTAACCGCCCAATCTTCAAAACTGTAAGACTCGACAAACTTTTAAAACTCTCATATTGTGCTATAAAATTTTATACGCTGTCATACATCTTGAGAAATTTTTCCGCAAGCTAGCCCCCGGTAATTTTCCTCAATACCCAAAATTTTTGGACAGTTCCGTTGAACTGAAATATCTTACAGTCGGTACATAGACAAACTGACTTGACATTTTTTCTCGATACCAAAAATTTTTGGATATATGTGAACGGAATAATAATCAGTGAAATCGGAACATAGACAAGAGGTACTGGACTAGTTTTTTGGATTGGTTTATGACTCGAACCTGCTGACCAAAATTTACTGAAAAATTTTGTGAAAAAAGTAAAAAATTAACAAAAAATCCTCAAAACGTCTCCAGAATTCTGCGAAATTGTGCTGTAAGATGAAACCAACCTTATGTTAAGTGGTCTGGTAGCGAAATATCAGGCAAATTAAGTTGAGTTTTTTCATCCTCAGGTTTCTTCCGCGTGTGTTGTTGGAACTTAACCAATTTGCCTGATCCCCCACCCACCATTGGTGAAACTGAAAGCCAGTTCGCTTCGAGTAAAACAAAGCCGTTTCAGCCCGTCATATTATTGACTTCGTTGCGTGACAGTAAAGTTAAGTGGTCAGGTACGGTGATATTAAGTGAGTTAAGTTGAATTCTTTCATCCTCAGGTTTACTCCGTGTGTGTTGTTGGAGTTCAACCGACCTACTTAATTTCCCAACCCCATTGGTACTTAAGCGTAACGAAGCCGTCGCATAGGTCCCCTAAGTGTATGGTATTCATTCTAGGAGCTAGTTCTTTGGATCACGCGCTCCGAAAACTTCCCGCTCCGTCCCAGAAGCGCGTCAAAGATACTTGCTTTACGAAGCCAGGTTTAAGTTTGAACTTTAACGCTAGGGACTCTCAGAAAACGATACAGTACTACCTTCATCACTATTTGTCGCACCGTAACGACCTTGTAATTTGGCACGACGCCATTAATAACTCGATAAGTAGGCACCGCAGCAACAATAACCGCAAGCTGAGTAGTGAGCAACTTGTCAATTTGTTATTAAGGTATAGGACAAACATTTGTGCGATCGTATACTGTAGACGGAACGGAACCGAGGATATAGAGGAAAGTTTAGGTTCAACAGGTATTCTCGTTCTCAACGTCGTTAAAGACTTTATCTCTAAGCGTAAGGCTAAGGACCAGGTACTAATTGAGAAGTACAAAGAGCTTCACCAGCCTCCTTCCCTTGAGTTAAAGACTCTCCTCCTTCTAAGGCGTTATAGCGCTAATCTTAACATCCTTAAGACACGTAAGAAGCGAAACCGCTTACCCCTCAAAGCTCGGAAAGCTATAAGAAATAGGCTTCAGGTAGAAGCTTTGAGACGTCAAGTTCCCCCGTCTTGTAAGCTAATGTTGATTTACTAATGCAAATTTAATTACGTACCAAAACAGTATCTCATTTTATTGATTGTTTTCTATAAGTGAGCATCCGTAGAATATTGTCAATTTGTGAAAAACATGGACGAAAAATTCCAAAGCAAGATACGCAAGTTATTCGAAACCCGTCTAAATCTAGAAAATGAGCTGCTCAAAGGTCACTCATTATTACTTGAGTACATTGAGAATAATAGTCGCACTACAAAAATTGATAATGCTGTTTACAAATGTAAAATTGCGTTGGAAAAAGCTGTCGACGTCAATGAGCGATTAATTAGGTTAGCGGGAAAAACGGAAAATCCTGAAAAAATTATTGCTCAGCAAGACCTTTGGCTTAAGAAAGTAACCGAAATGAACGATAAAGTAATGCACGAAGCTCAGAGTTACAAGATGAGCCTTGAACCTTCGTCATTTCCAGCAGCCGGCATTACAGGGAGCAAGGGATCTTTACAACAAACCAGGTCTGAGACATCCTCACGCTCGCACAAAACAAGTGATTCAGCAGCACGAGTATCTGAAAACAGGTCTAAGGTCTCTAATAAGTCTAAGGATAGTAGAAAGCTTGACTCACATAAGTCTGATAAATCTGCTTCCACTCGTCATACGTCGACTGTTCGCACTATGTCATCAAGTGAGAAACGGCATGAGTTAGCTTTAGTAAAACGACGCCATGAGGAGCTGGAAAGGCAGTATCAAGTATCTTTAAGACTTAAAGAGCAAGAGAACCGTCTTAAGTTCGAACAAAGTCAGCTGGAACTAGAGCAATTGGCTGAAAATCATAAAAAGCAACTAATTGAAATGGAATTGAAAGCGTTTGAACTTGAGGACAGTTCATCTGAGGTTAGCGAGAAGGTAGCGGAAAGTAATGTAACAGGAGTAAGTCAACCTATTTCAAAGGTAGCAACCGATCGAACTAATGATTGGGTAGACTCTGTTAGTTCACAAGCACCTCCCGACGTTGCTAGTGCTCCAGGTTTGCAGGCCTTCACTCATGTACCCATTTCGTCAGGACCGACGACTTCCGCCCTCCTTGCTCATGCAATTCACACCAGTAATAGTCATAACCATGAGCACACAGCATTGAGTGACCCTGGAATCCATAGTTATGGACATCGGGCTATGCCTCAATTTGGCAGTGCAAGCCGTTTGCCATTGCAAGCTTCTGTTTCATTCCCAGCCTCTGTTCCATTCCCAGTTAACAATATGCATTCTAGTGCACACGTGTCACCACCGTCTGCTATTCCTTTACAGACCATGAGTTCAAACATAACTAATG